GATACAAGACATCTGTTGATTACCTTAAATCTCACTGTGGACATTTACAATTGAAAAAAGTAATTTTTAAAAGAAAAGAAATGGATTTAAAATTTTCTGAGGGGCACTGTGTTAATTTAAGGCTACTGTCATGAGGCAAAGCTAAAAGAATGAATGCAAGATTGGGAAGCACACATCACCCAGAGAAACACAAAACAGACACAGATGCTGTTGATGTAAACTCTACCTTTGAATAATCAGGACTTGGAATGTTAACAGCTTTTTATTCCTACCTGTGTCCCCATCCATCTCCTACCTCCCTCCTGTTACATGGCCAGATGGAGACTTATAAGGACAGACAGGAAGGTGGTCCCGTGCTATTGTTCTTAAAGACTTCCACTGTCTCTGTTCTTCACAGTGCTGTTATGTCTCACCAGCAGTTAATCATGTGTAACATTTCCAGGATGCTTTCTTCCCAGTATTCAATATAGCCACGTCCCATCATTCTGACTCGATTATCAATTCCTCAAGCACTGCTGGGGAAGATGTTTAACAAATGTTCATCTATTCTGCGACCTTACGAGTGTGGATGGATGAGATGGATGAAATTTCACAGGCAACGTACCAGAGAATGAACAGGGAAGTCGAACATGGCTGCTCACACCATTCTAGGTGAAGGGTCGCACTGGCCTCAGAACCAGCCTTTGAAGTATTCTGTTCCCACAGCACACCCCACTGGCCGTGAGGGGAAGTTCACTCCCAATGCACAGTTTATGATCATCACTGAGGGAGTTGGAAGTCAAGAACACACCTGCCTTGCTTTTGGCCTCATCTTTTCACAGTGGCTTTGGTGGAGACCTAGGAGTTCTTTAAAAGACTGGTAATTATATTATCATTTTCTCAGGTGAATTAAATGCCCAACTCCACCCAGTGCTCACAGTGGTGTTTAATACTCTCATGAGGTGGATACACAACACCGGCCGTGCAGATGAGTCACATGAGATAGAAGGCAGAGTAGTCAGTCACCACAGACCCCAAAGCTAAGCAGAGGAGCAAAGGGGTAACCTCCATTTAACTACAGAAGTCCTCCTTAGTGACTATGCCATACTGTCTCTGTAATACTAAAGTAAGTGCTTGGTATTCAACAGAAACTAAGCTATCAGGTGCTAACTAGTTTCAAAGTCCACCACTGCAGGCTCTGCTTCTCATACTCAACAAGGCTTTTGCTGAAATTTCAAACAGGACAGGCTGTTTTCTCGGCATTTCATCCACAGGTAACCTGCTAGTGAAAATGGGCTACATGTCATAAGACATCAGCAGACTCAGAAGGTAAGCCACAGTGTGGTCCCTGTGGCTGATGCTGGGACGTAGGAAGACCCTTCATTCAAGTAGGTATAGTACAATATGGATAAGGTTATGCTGGGGCTTTAACAGACATAGTTTATTGTGGATCACAAATAGGAGAAAAAATTGAGACATGGTTATGCTATATCGTTTCAGCTGACCTTGAACTCAAGGTTCTCCCACCTCAGCACCCCCAGTGCTGGGGTTACATGTGTACATCACCATACATGGCTGATACAGTGTGTGTGTGTGTGTGTGTGTGTGTGTGTGTGTATAGGGCAGAAGGTTACGGAAATTTACATTCATTCAAGAGAGTCACCAGAGAAGGCTCCAGATGTACATCCCAGGCTTCTTTAAGGAGCGTGTTTCCTAGTCATATTAATTGATTAGCCATTGGTTAGAAAGGCCTGCCTCTGTCAGGAAGGATCATGAGACCATTCTGAATTCTGTGAGGAAAGGGTGCTACGCTGGTAGATAATGTCTATCTTCGTATGGGACGTGAAGGTGGCTCTAGTCAGATCTGCTCTAGTCAGGCCTGGAGCATTGACTGGAGCGCCACAGTGCTCCCTTAGAGCTGCCTACCAGGCCTGAGAGGAAGCTGGAAGTGGAAACCGGAAGAGGCTGCTCTGCGGGAGCACAGGGCTTGAGGGATTTCTTTTCACGTGCAACACGCGAGGCCCACAGGTGCCCCTGGGCCCTGTGATGACAGAAGGGCCATGTCCCCGGAAGACAGGAGGGGGAAAGGGAAGAGATGAGGCTAGGAACTCAAGTTCTGTACCCAAGTCTTACAAGGATGTGCTCTTGCCTCACTGCGGTGCTGATGCAGGGGTTCGGAACGCGCGGCTAGCTTTAGGGCTTCTCATTTCCGTTCACTCACTCCTTGAACGGTTTTAGCAAAGCCTACTTGAAAAGGTAAGCCTGTCTCAGGTGTGCTGAGGGAAGGAGACTGCTAAATGTTCAGAGGGTGAAAGGGCGGGGGTGGAGCCGGGGTGGGGCACGACTGACCCCTGGTGGTGGGCCTGGAAATTCCTACTTCAAAGATTTTTTTCAAAAAAGCGTCCGAGAAAGCCTGATTTTCCAGGGAAGAAGAATTTTGGGGTGAAATACCTCTAAGAAAAAGCTCATGTTACATAATCTGTATACATCTTATCCCTTTCTTGCTTATTCTCCATGCTTTTCCAAGTGCCTGAGAATTCTTGCAATAAATCCCTTTCATTTCAGCACCTGTTTGTTTGAACATAGACATGGATTTTGTGTCTGTGTAATGAACCTACCGTTCTGTGAGACGTGAGTCTTAGGAGGAAGGAAACAATATAAGGTTTAACTTTTCCCTTCAGTTTGGAGATTTGGATGGACATCTCGTCTACCAGATTTCCTCTTCCCCACTAAAAGCTTTGGAAATCTTCTGTTTGGGTAAGCAGCTTTCCTTTGTCCCCCTTCAAGATTGTTCTTAATAAAAGTCTAAATGTTAAAGGATGTTTTCCCCTCTATAAACAAACAGTTTACATACCTCAGATGAGAAATCTGTACTGCAGAAAAACAAACTGTTCCATCAAGCCCTCAAACTCTTCAGATAAAGCTGCACAACTGAAATGTTTGAAGCTCACTCAGCTGACAGAATTCTCTTGCTTCAGAGGCTCTTTAGACTCGGGAGGTGGCAAAGGGCAGTGGTTCAGAGGACTGTGGCTCTGAAGCCACTTTTCCCCTTTCTGAAGATCAGCTCTGCCTCTCACTAGTGGTGTGACCTTGGGCATGTTATATAACCTCTCTGTTCTCAATGTCTTCATCTGTGAAATGCAAATAACAGTATCTCTGGTTCTATTAAGGCTCAAATGAGCTAACACATGTAAAATACTTAACAGAGTGACTAAAAGTTAGCTAGTAATTTGTTGCTTTTTCTGACAGGAGTATAAAGCATCATTTCAAAGGAACATAACAGGGTTTGGAGGTTTTTTTATATAAATATTATATACTTGGGGTTGTGGAGATAGTTCAGTTGGTAAAGTGATTGTTTTGCAAACGCAAGAATCTGAGATTGATCCCAAGAACACATACTAAAAATGAAAGGCCTGGTGGCACATGCTTGTAATTCCAGTGCTGGGAAGGTGGAGGCAGGTGGATCCTTGGGGCTCAGTGACACATGCGTGTGCAGGAAAGAGGAGAACATCAGATGTCCTGTCCTATCACACTCCTCTCTTATTCCCTTGAGACAAGGATGGGAGAGGGAGGCATGGGTGAGTAGGGGAAGATGTTTACTTAGGTTCACTGAACCTGGAGTTAGCCTGGTAGCCAGCAAGCCTCTGGGAGTCTCCTGTTTCCAACCTCCACAGCACTGGGGTTATAGGCACACAAAGAGTCATACTTGACTTTCTCATACGGGTTCTGGGCATTTGAACTCAAGTCCTCATGTTTGGATAGCAAGTGCTGTGACCCACTGAGCCTTCTCTCCAGCCCTGTGGTGTAGTTTGATTTGCGTTTCTCTACTGGCTCCCGATGCCAAGCGTTTAACAGTTCTTAATATCTTTCTAGCAGATTCCATAGGAAGAGCCCAAATATCAAACCTAGGACACAATGGACATTTAAACAGGGTCTCCCTGTAGCTCCAGCTGGCCTGGAACTCACTATGTAGACCAGGCTGGCCTTGAACTCACAGAGATCTGCCTACTTCTGCCTCCCGAGTGCTGGGACTACAGGTGTACATCAAAGATGCCTGGACTAGGCATCTTTGATGAGTTTAAAGTTATTTCTTACTGCCAGCCTAATTCCAATTTCTTTCAAGGATGGGACTCTTGGTAGGTTAACCAGGCTCCAGTGTCCAGTGGATGAGCCCACACTGAAGGACATTTGGGGACACAAATCAGAGGCTATAGGCATATATATACATATATATGAATATATATGTGTATATATAAAATGGGGGCTGTTCTCCTTAATAACCAAAGATGTGATGCCAATTTGGCTGCCTAAGACATGTCAGTGGATATCTCATGTCAGACATCTCAATGCCTCTGTAGAAGGTGATTCTGAAGTGCTTCAAGTTACCTACGTCAGATTATCTATCTATCTATCTATCTATCTATCTATCTATCTATCTATCTGTATATATATCTATATACAAAATACAATACATTAAATTGGATGGGGGGCAGTAAGGGGAGGTGCACATAGGTGAGAGAATCTAAATATCATCAAATTAAAATTCAATAAAAACAATATTAAAAAAACAGCATTTGAACTAAACCATCATGAACTGAAGAAAAAAATCAACCATCGTCTTTGTTCATTAATCCATTGGATTTCATCAAGTTAAATGTTTAAATGGGAACAAAGAGAAAATAATTTCACAAATAGAATGTTTTGTAGAATATGAGTAACATGCTGTAGGTGATTTGTCTAATGTGAGGAACCATTACTATATTTTTTGTTGTTGTTAGTTTCTTTTTCTCTCTGGGAAGAAAACCTCTATAAAATGGAAGTCTAGCATTCAACTTTAGGGCATTTTTCTTTTATTTGAACATGGGAGAGTTCCTCATTGGTGGTGTTGCAGATATTTGGCTGGTTATGTAACAGCATGTGTCCTGAGTCATCCCCAGAGGACAAGCCAGTATAGACTCACAAACACACTTACTGGTGCCAATGCATCGAAGGGTTTGGTATTCACAGAACTGCCCCCTTACCTTTGACTAGTACGTTTTCTCTCGCTGTGCACCTCTCTTCACTGTAAGTATCCTCAGGTTCTGTTGGCTCTGCACAGACGTCATCTTTTCCTTCCCCACATTCTTTCTTCTGGATTTCTCCTCAAAGCCTGGAACACAGAGCAGAGCAGAACAGCTCAATCATTTCTGCACACATTTGGGAAGGACAGTCAATCTCAGGTCACTGACAATTCCAATTTATTTCTAATTTTCCCCCAGCTAGCTACAGTTTAATCACAGTTTTAGAAACTCACCTGATTAGATAAGATTTAGAATAGAACTCTCTCAAAACACAGATGAAACAGGGCTTGTTCTCTGTAATAACCAAAGATGGGATGCCAATTTGGCCTCCTAAGACATGTCAGTGGACATCTCATATCAGATTTGCATTGCCTCTGTAGGAGGTGATTCTGAAGTGCTTCAAGTTACCTACAGTCAGTTATATAATCAGGGATGTCAGACTGGGAGTGAGAACTTAGGAAAATATCACTTTAGACTCATGTTTTAGGATAACTGGAACCAGTAACCCTTGAGTCTGGCTTCGAGCAGATAACAGTTCACTGTGAATGCTGATGAACATTAGTGTGGACACCGTGCTGTGAGACTGTTTACATGTATCTATCTTATTACCAAAGCTGATAGAAGTAGCTTTTATGTTAGCTGTTTTTAATTAAACATCAAAATGTCCAAATCTGGACATGGTGGCTCCCATCTGTAATCCAAGGACTAGGAAGCTGAGGCAGGAGGAGTGCCAGGAGTTCAAGGCCAGCCTGGGCTTACATAATGAGTTCTAGGTCAGTTTGTATTATAGACTAAGCCCCTTTACAGATAAGATAAACAAGGGTCAGTAAGAGAAAGGGACTTGCAAAAGTTTACACAGGGCAGAACTCACCCTTGAAAGCCTCATGCATTTCCTACTGTGTCACACCTTGTTCCCACATCTTTCATGTGTCCGCCAGGCAACAAAATTTCCTTGAGGGGCTAAATCCTCGGTAAATGCTGATAAACCAAGTAATATTGCAAACATCATGCATAAGGAATTAGTTAAATCCCTTCCTTAAGCAAATATTCCACAGCTTATAATCAACTCAGATCATAAAGGCAGAACAAAGGGAAATAAACCAATATTTCTGGATTATCTAGAATAGCTACCATTGATGGAGCACCAACCTTGAAGCATCCAGCATGCCGCACACATCACTCACACTGACACTAATGCTTCCAGGAACTCTGAAAATAATATAGACATTATTATACCATGAAAACAAGGAAATTGATTCAGGGAAATAAGACACCCAAGGTTGCACACAGCCAGTAAGTTCTCTGGTTCTGTGTCTTCTGCCATACACACCAACTTCTTGTCTGCAACAAGCAGCTCAATAAACCAAAGAAATATGCATCTACTTGGAAACCCCAGAGTCCAAGAATAGAAACAGAATGGACAGTACTTAGAAGGAACTAAAGGGAAGAGGGAAGAAATGGACTAAGAATGTTGTGGTTTGAATAGGCTTGTGCTCCGAGCACTTCGCCCCCAGCTGGTCGCATACTTTTTGGGGAGCTGTGTACATTTGGGGAGATGGGATCTAGCCGCAAGAAGCAGTCACTGGTAGCATGACTTTGAGGATTATACTGGGTCCCCAGGCCCCTCCTCTTTCTCTGCTTTCTGTCCATCATGAGGTAGAACTTCTCCCACCACATGCTCTCTTGTCATGATGTTCTGCCCACCTGCATGGAGCTAAGCAACCATGGGTTGAGCCCCTGAAATCAGGAACTAAAACAAATCTGTCCTCCCTTAAGTTGTTCTTTGGGGTGTTTGGATCACAGAGACATGAAAATAACTAATCCACTCATCTTGGGAATCTATTTTATAATGATTCTGTCACGAGGGACACGTCCTGATGCTGAATATACAAATATAATTACAATATACAAATTCATCCTTAAAATTCATTAAAAGGTATCTGTAATGTTAGGTCCCTGAGGATGATAAAAGATATCTAAGTTCTCTATAAGTTAGGCTGGATGGCTTTTCTTCACCTACTGTATTATTTTTCTACATTTACCACGACAAAATGAGACGGACAGGGGACTTTAGCAAGTGAAAGCCATTTCCTCATGGTTCTTGAGACAGGAAGGCCAAGACTGAGGCCATGGCAGGCTTAGTTTCATGTGGAGTCTCTCTTCTTGGCTGGCAAAAGGCTGCCCTGCCCTACCATCTGTTCACAGGATCTTTTCTTTATGCATGCAGCCCTGGGGCCTCTTTATGTGTTTATACTTCCTCTTTTTACAAGGACATCTGTCAGACTGAATTAGTACTTGTCTTATAGCCCAATTTTACCTAACTATGTAAGGTTTGGAGCTTTAGTGATATCTACTACACAATTAGTGCTGGTGCCACAGAAATGAAAACCCAGGCACCAAAACAGTAACTGCCATGTTATCAACCTTCAGTATTACAAAAATTGGAATTATTTACTACTTAAATTTAAATTCAGTAACCTAATGCTCCACTAGAGGATTTAAGTTAAAAAAGAAGAGTCGACCATCTTGATTGAATATACTTTGGCCCACGCTGATCTAAACTAGGGGCAGAAAACTGATGCTTGCTGGTCAAATCTGCTTGATGTCTTTTTCACCCGACCTCTGTACTGCCTCTCTTAATAAAGTTTTACTGGAACACAGCTGTGCCCATGCCTGTTCAGTTACATACTGTCTATGGCTGTTGTTGTACATCTTCAACTGCAGAGCTGGACAGTTATAACAGACACTATCTGGTCTACAAGGTAAAAAATATAACTTCTTTACAGCAAAAAAGCTTCCCATTACTTGGTTTAAACTTGGCCCACCAAATTTCATTACTGCAAGAGTTATCAGCACTTCTCAGTCTTCAAGAGGAGAATACATAGTAAAACTTAAAGGCTTTAAAAATCTTTAACTACACTTTTATTTCGTGTGTCTGTATTTGTGTGGGCATAGGCACATCTGGAGGTCAGAGGACAATCTGTGGGAGTCAGTTTGTTCCTTCCACTATGTGGGTCTCGGGGATTGAATTCAGGTCAACAGACTCAGAAGCAAGCACCTTTACCCACTGAGCAATCTCACCTACCCTATAGTGAAATTTAAGATTGCATCTTACATGGACAGTCATTTTTAACATCAGTGCATCTGAGAATCGTAAAAGCTGTACAGTGAAAAGTAACCCTGAAAAAATCCTTGAGTAAAACCCATGGCAGAGCCCAGCCCACCAGATCAGCACCAGCACACCCCAGTTTTCCTTTAAAGCTGCAAGTGATAAAATTTTCTTTGAATGCCACATGAAACAACTGACTTTATATGTAGATCATTAGTATAAAAAGATGCATATCTTTAAAGAATAGCATCACTTTCCACATAAAATACTTAGAAAAACTTCTGAGAAGGACCAAAACTACAGAAAATCCAGGTTGCCATCTTACACTCTACTCTTGAATTTCAGAAGCTAAATACACACATGATAAGACATCACTGCAGTTGGCTTCTTCAACTATTTTTCTCCAGTGAAGATTTAAATACTTTGTTCTGTGTACCACATCTGGGAAAATGCTGAAACCAGTTTGTATTACTGGTTGAAAAATGCATACGATGCTTAGCACTGGTTGTAAAGGAAATGTTGACTGAATCATAGTTACGTACCTTTTCATATTCATTAGGATGGTATTAAAGAACAGACAACAATGAAAACTGGCAAGATTGTAGAAAAATTAGAACCGCTATGAATTGCAGATGGGAATGTGAAATGGTACCACTGCTATCAAAATCAGTGTGTAGTTCCTCAAAAGACGAAACATAAAGTTCCCACATATTCAGCAATTCTGCCTCTGGGAATGCGCCCCAAACTACTGCAGTAGGGACTGAACAAATGTTAGTACAGTAATGTTCATGGTTGCCCTGTTTACATAGCTAGACGGTAGAGACAATTCATGATTCCATTGACAGATGAATAAACGAAATGTGGCACATCCATTCCGTGGACAGTCATTCAACCCTAAAAAGAATGAGATGTAGACACAATGTAAAAGGGGGAACATCTTGAAAACATTACACTAAGTGAAGAAGCCAAACACAAAAAGACAAATGTTGTATGATTCCACTTACAGGTGTACTGAGAGCACTCAGTCAGAAAATAGAAGAGAGGTTGCCAGAAGCAAAGGACTGAAGAAGTTATTACTTAATAGGAGTGGAGTTTCAATTTGAGATGATGAACAAGTTCTGGACCTAGATTCCAGTTGTGATTGCACAGCCTCGTGAATGCATTGACACCACTGAAACTGGACATTTTGAAATGGGAACTTTAGCACTTTGTATGTCTTTTCCCGTCCTAAGAAAAAGTGCTCAGAAAAAAGGTACAGGAGTATAACTGTTGGGGGAAGGATGAGGAGGGCCCATTCCTCAGATGTCAGTACAAAATCATTTTTCTGAAGAACCTAGCAATCGATGAATACCTGACTTGTGTAGACGACAGCTTGATAGCCTGTGTGATAGAGAAATGGAACACAACAGTTGTTCCCAGCTCTTGGGGTTCAAAGCCACAGAAGATGTCTATACTCCCAGCATGGCTTTACCCTTCCCCTCACCCTTATCTATATGCAGCCCACAGGGGTAAAATACACACACAAAGTAAAACAATGAACCCTATCCATGAACATCATTCAGAACAATTAAATGTTCTTTTTCATACTGCTTTCACATCCTGCCCTTATTTATTTATTTATTATTTATTTTATATGAGTGTTTTGCCTGTAGGTATGTTAAGTGCATCACATTCATGCAATGCCGACAGAGGCCAGAAGACGGCATCAGATCCCCTGGTTGTTAGCTACCATGTGACTGCTAGGAACCAAACCTGGGTCCTCAGCAACAACAGCTAGTGCTCTTAACCACTGAGCTATCTCTCCAGCTTCCCTGTCTACTTTTTAAAAAAGACACAACCACACGGTCTTTAAACCCCCCGTGTTAATTTCTCCAGTCCAATTCTCCCTTGGCTGAAACAAGAAAACCCTATCACGAATTCAATAAATATCTATTTGTGTGTGCATGTGTCCAAACTAAAATATTCTATGGTTTGCTTTTT